ATGCCGAGATTCACAGCTGAGTCTTTAAAACAATCTACTTACTATGAATGGAGCTGGGTTAAAAGAAGCTTAATTTATTGGGTGTTCCCGGGGGCAAAGAATCCCCTACTTTTAATGAGAGTTGCAATTGGCCTACTTCTGCTAAAACTAGACTATTTCACACCACTAGGATTATCCCCAAAAGCTATTACAGAAACCAATTTGTTACTGATCATTATAATGAACGAGGAGCGTGGTGTAATATTCTAGCACTTTGAAGAACAAGGGGTTTTGTCTGTTTGGGGACCAAAAACGTACCCTCATTTTAAATGAAAATCAAGGGCGTTTGTGGTGGTGGTTTAATATTATGCCATCACGTTAAAACACAAACAAAAGGTAAACTAAAAATGCATGTCATGTGTCCCTAAATGTTCCGCATAAATGACACATGGACACGGCAAGACAGCAGGTTGAAAGCACGTTAAAATGTACGTTAAAATAGCCTAATGTGTATTTCCAGGCGCGTGTCTTACCTGTTTGAGACGCAAAGCAGACTCTGGAGAGAAATGTCCTCAACTTTAGGTCGTTATGAATTTTCCTGATGGTTTTCTCTGCGTTTACATCGGGCCCTTGTGGAGAGCTGCTCTCAGGTGAGTCCGGTTTCATCCTCAATCCTCCAGCTTCTGCCTCTCCTCAGGGCTGCGCGCTCCCTCTACTCGCTCCGCACTGACGTCATGCCAGGGCGGCGTATTGACCAATCACAGAGCACCAAAGAATGCGTCAACAAGACGTCTCACTCCTCACAGTTTTTTTAATATTGTTGCAATTTCTTCAACACCAATACTACTACTACTACTACTACTACTACTACTACTACTACTACTACTACTACTACTACTACTACTACTACTACTACTACTACTACTACTACTACTACTACTACTACTACTACTACTACTACTACTACTACTACTACTACTACTAACATTGTGGAATTCGCCAAGTTATCATCAAAATTCGAAATGTTCAAATTTCAATATTTTACTTTAGAACTTCGAGGGATTTCTTATACAATTTGAATTAAAAAATATAAATTACAAGTTAAAAGTTGACCTAGGAAACAGCATCATTATTTTCCAAACAGCAGTTTGTGGGATGTTGGTAATGTCAAGTGTATATCCATTAGTTAGCTATGAGATCACCGAAGACCATCACACAGCGCCACAGGAGGTATTTCCTCCCAGTGGCCATCAAACTCTTTAACTCTTCACCCTTAAGTAAAGGGAACTGAGAACTTCCACACCAACATGTGCAATATAAATATAATTACCATCATTGTAATACACTCGCTGCTATATAACTATATAATATTAGTATTATTAATAATATGCTATGATAACGTGCAATTACGTAACTGCCACTACGTTTTATTTGTTGCACTACTAAATACTGCTAATAATTGCATTGATTGTGTGACCATCTGTTTCTATGTTTCATGTTTTCTGTAATTGCTCTTTTTACTGCACTTTTAGTGTAGTTTTGCTGTTGTGCTGCTGTGTTTATTGTATTTGTGTTACTCTGGCACAACAATTTCCTTCGGGATAAATAAAGTCTTATCTTATCTTATCTATAAGGAATATATTTAAAATATTACACATGTTTATTTATTATTTTTCAAGTCTTATAGTGCCTCTGTAGTTTGTTCACATGTTCAATATTGAGCTTGCTTGACATTTTCTCAGAAAAGTGATTGAATATATATTCAGATTTACATGAGCAAAGTAATTGTTCTAATGTTGCCCATCTCCCTTGTTATGCAGGTAAAGTAAGATTTGCAACTTCCAAAGTATCCACTTAGGCTCAATCCAATGTAATGATAATACAATTAAAAAAACATCTGGTAACAGAGGCATGCAAATGTTGCTACCTGTGATCGATATATTATTCACTGGAAAATACTCTGTACATAGCATATAGTACAATAGGCTCTTTTAAGTTTAGAAAAGTCAGCTCAATAGATGCATTTCCGCCCTTTATGCAACTCACAGGGTTCTAACGGCTAGAGGCAGGCAGCTGAGTTTTCTCGACAAATAAAAGATCTTTGAGGTCTAGCTAGTATGTGGCTTGAGATCACCGGGGCCACGCTATTTAATAGTCTCTGGGGCCACGGCCAAGTATAAACATTTCCCTCCAAATCTGGACGGTCAGGACAAAAAAAAAGTTTAAAACGTGTAGAAACCACAGTGAAACAAAAATGAAAATGGATACAAGTAATTCCATGGTTTATAGCTGCAAATAGTTACGGCACAACGCTGCTACGCTAATATTTGATTTTAATGAGACAAAAAGAGCTAATTGGTTCAGAGAATTGATATGGTCGGATTATTTATGAGACAGCATTCCAGTTTAGAGATAGGCTCCAATACATTAGCTAACAGTTATTCTTGTTAATGGTTTGACCACTAAGCAGAAATATTTCTGGAGGTTTTGAAGTTGTCTTGATCAACAAAGCAGCCAATTTTCCCCACCAGATTATTTTCGGAATTAAAAATACTTTTGAGTTAGATAGTATAATCTGCATTAATACATTACATGTATACTTATAAGTACATTTTATTAACTGAATACAAAATGTTTAAATTAACTGAGCCTATATGATTTCAAATGCTGTATGAATAATAAGTATTAATCTGAGCAGTTGTATTACATGATGTTGTACTTCTTTGCAATCATTTTGCAAATTATGTGAACAACCAACAATAAAGTAGGAACGTATTTTAAAATGCACTTTCTTTTATTGACATAATTGCCAGACTGATCCATGGGCATCAGGTGAAGTGAACAGTCAGCTGCATAAGGCATGCACAAGGCACACAGCCATTCAAGTATGCAATGGGAACTTTGGAGATGAGGCAACTCTCATCTATCTATCTCTTTCTCCCACTCGCTAACACACTCAAAGACACACACATTTAAACACACACAAACACAACAGAGTGGCTTTACGGGCCGAGGTAATCTTCACAGTATTCCAAAGATGATGTCTGGCTGGAAGAGGATACATTATTAGTGAGTTTATGTTCATTTTTAAAAAGCTTTGAGATGTTGAAAATGTTCATGTTAAATGTTGCAGTCAGCCACTCACACGCTGCAGGAGGTGCTGCCCCGTGAAAGAGTCTGCATGCTGGCCATCCTCTCCCACTGCCTTGCAGCGGAGGTAACCATAGAGATTGGCCGCTTGGAGAGAAATACTAGCTACCACAAGTGACTGGGGAAGACAGACGATGATGCATTTAAAGAGGGGCATTATGTGATGTGCTTCTATGCAGGGCATGCACACAAGCAACCTGTGTCTCACCAGCCATTTAATCTTCAGGGAGAACAGGGAGGTGAAGAAGAAACATATCCATATGAGAGGGCAGATGATGAGACCCAGCCAAAATATCCTGGCCTCTGCTTCTGTCCCTATGTTATTGTCGCGGGAGGCCTGCACACATACATTGAAATGTTCAAATGTGTAAAACCTAAATGCTTTTCTGCATTCAAAATGGCACACAATATCTTACTTTTTTGGCTTCAAACACCCAGAGGCTTTTTCCATCGTCGTCAATCTGATTCCACCAGCGCAGGCCGACCAGCAGCCTGCCAGTCACATTCTGAAACACAAGACAAATGTGAGGAATCAAAACCAGAGAGGTGAAAGCAGGGGATTAAACAGTACTGAAGGGCACAAGAGGGCAAGGAAGGGGTAGGGAAAATAGGGGAATTAGCAGCTGACCTGCACATCCTCTCACCTTAACAGACCAGAAGTCAAAAGAGAGCAGAGTGATGATTAGCACAAAACAAGATGCAAAGTTCTCGCTGATCCAGTCACTGAGAAGATAGGCAACAATGGCAACCACCCGGAAGAACAGGTGGAAAAAGGAGGCAAGGGGGTGTCTGAAAAGAAGGTTCAGGATGAGAAACGATGAAGACCCTGTATACACATGCCAATGACAGAATTGAAGCTAGCAGAGACAATTTGTCTTGCAGCCTACAGCAAAGATGGACCTTTTACTAAGACTGCAGTTGCCTTTGAATCAAATTGTAAAAGGCTAACAAAACAAATGTGCCACACAGCAGGCTAATGTAGCCTACTAGATAGCTTTATTGTCAAATGTAGTTAACACATTGTAAACAGTAGCCTACTGTGTGCAAGACAAATAAGTGAATGCAGCCATATAGTAAACATCCCCTGCAGCGCACCTTATGACTGCGCTTCTCCGCGCCCTCTCCTGCTCGTCAGCAGCAAAGTCCAGCTCCACATCCTCCGTGTCATCCGCCATCCTCTGACAAGCAATGACAAAACACAACAGAATGAAATCATCCTATCTTATACAATACAGACAAACACAACACATCTAGAGCTAGACAGGAAATACCAATATGTATGGTCATAGATGTGTAATTCAAAGCGAAGTACCTTTGGGGCAAAGCGTAGGCTAGCTGGGGCTTGAATAAAGCCAGGTGTTACAGTGAAATAAGACCGACCCCAACACACTGCCTCCTCAGTTATTACATCCACATCAAATACAATAATACGCTGAATTTGCAACCACAATTGTATCAATTGCGTAGCAGTTAAATCAGCTTTATGTCAACAGTATGCGTTTTTTCTGAAGGGAACACTGTGACGAAACATAGTCATCCTAATCACAATATTACAAAAATGCGACCGCGGCAGGACTCGAACCTGCAATCTTCTGATTCGAAGTCAGACGCCTTATCCATTAGGCCACGCGGCCACGCTGTGTCCGTATTGGAACCGTTTACAATTTGTATATAAATAATTACAAATGTCATGATGATAGTTATGATAATGTTGAGTTGTGAATAATCGATTCATGTACAAGACTGTTGCACGTCCAACAATGCTGTTATTCATATTATTTGTTTGTTATAGTAAAACCAATGCAGTCATCCGGACCGCTTGGGGTCGCTGGTAGGCTCCGTTTGTTATACTACCGAATTCTATTACACGGCTCTGGTTGGACCATGCTAGTTTACAACCTCATGTGTTGTGGAACTTTTGTAACATATTATGGTTGATAACTTTAACATTATACCTCATAGCACATATCGGGTGAGTTTGCTATTCTTTATTTCACGATAGTCTAGCTAAAACACTTGCTAGTGCAGGATATAACAGCTTTTATGTTGTTTGGCTGCTCAGAAAACTAGCACCAGTACCCTTGGGGCATGGGTTTAATGCTTTTAAATATAGGTTAGCGGGTTGGGGTTAACTTCAGTTGATTAAACCAAATAAGAAAAGCAAAGTGTCTGTGTTTCTGCGTGTGTAACTATCCTACAGTAGCTAGCGTTTAGTCCAGGTTTCCAGTACACGTATATCTAGCGTTAATGTAACAGTTGTGTGATAAGCATGTGCATTCAACACACCTGGTTAAACAGGCTCTATTGCAAATGACTAGAAGTTAGCTTAATTTGAGTGAAATATCTGTAACCGTGTTGTTTGACCAAGACATTTACAGCCTTTGTACAATAGTACACTCACAATACATGATCAAATAATATCTTTTTTTCAAATCGGTATCGCTACTATTTAGTACCTTAGTATAGCTGTATCTATTCCCAGTTTGTGGCTATCATTACATTACATGTGAGACAAACCTGGGATAAGTTGTATCATAACATAACATTGATGTTTTTTCTCATACTGATATTCTGAACAATCTGTGCTGTTGTATTTGCTGTAAAGTGTCTCTACTGTAGGCTATTTTTATTATATGTACAGCACTTTGGCTCGACCAAAAATCGTTTATAAATGTGCTATATAAATAAAACTTGATTTGATTTGATGTTGTCTCTATGTCTTGCAGCTCTAGTGTGAGTTCTCATGAGGTGATGCTGCATGTGTTGCGCTCTCCTCTGCAGAGGACTCTCATCCCTCTACAATGGAGATGTCAACGCTGCCTCTTCTCCTTCAAGCCTCATTCTCTTCAGGGCGAGGAGTCCACGGAGAACCGCATGAACCCCCTGAACATTCAGATGCTGTCAAAGAACCTCCATGACCAGATCTTCCGAGGGCAGGAACCAGAGTACAGAGAGGAGGAAGTGGAGCGCAGCATCAGGCACCTGCAGAAACATCAGCTGTGGGGGAAGGAAACTTCACTGCTGCCTGAAGTGGAGCTGAAGCTTCCCCAAATGTATGGCAACAATATTGACGAGCACTTTCGAATCTTGGCCCAGAAGCAAAGTCTACCCTACCTTGAGGCGGCCACCGAGCTGCAGCTGGCGGAGATCCCTGCCATGCCTCAGGAGTGGAGCTGGGAGGTCGGCTGGACACGCTATGGGCCAGATGGGGAGAGTCAGAAGGTTGATTTCCCAGAGGAGACTGCACTGGTGTTTGATGTGGAGGTGTGCATGGCGGAGGGAAGGTGTCCCACAATGGCTGTTGCTATGTCTCCCACTAACTGGTGAGCAACAACAAGAAGTGTAAAGATCATGTGAAGGGGAGAAAAAGCAATGAATGGCATTATAAGGCTTGTCACAATAACTAGTGTTGTTGAACACTAGTCTGGTTGCGTCATTGTCACAGAAATCAATTGAGATTAACAATGTTATGGTCATTTTAGGACCATTTCATGCTACTGATATTATGATTATGTAATAACAAAATAATGCAATTACAGCAATGGAAACATTTTCTCACTTACCAGGTACTCCTGGTGTAGTAAGCGTCTGATTGAAGAGCGGTACTCGTGGTCAAACCAGTTGACGCTAGCTGACCTCATCCCCTTGGAGACATCGATCAACTCTGCCCGCCCACCAGGGGGTCAGTGGAAGGAGAGGCTCATAGTAGGCCATAATGTCAGTTTTGACAGAACATTCATTAAGGAGCAATACTTACTAAAGGTCAGTATTCAGACAGTGTTTTTTTGTTATTGTTACATCTTCGACTCTTTACCAACTGACCTTTCTAACCCTCTGTCCCCTTCCTTCTCCAATATGAATCTCTATTGTACAATTGTATGATACTTGTTGTATGAGTTACATTAGTATGTTTATGACATAAAAGTGTTTTCTTCCTTAAAGGGTTCTAAGGTGCGCTTCATGGATACCATGAGCCTTCACATGGCCATCTCTGGGCTGACAGGGTTTCAGCGCACACTGTGGATGGCCAATAAGATGGGTAAAAGGAGGGGTCTTCAGGAGGTCAAGGAACACTTTAAAAAAGCTGGACAGAAACGGGAAGGTCCAGCGGTTAGTGCCATCATATCTAAGCTAAAACCTGCAATCTCTAGGATTTTGTCATTAGTAGAACTCACTGAGACATGTAATTTGTAACAGATCGGCTCCTGGGACTGGGTTAATATTAGCAGCATTAACAACCTGGCTGATGTCCATGCTCTGTATGTGGGAGGACCACCACTGAAGAAAGAGGCCAGAGAGATATTTGTGAAGGGAAGCATGGCGGATGTCAGGAACAACTTCCAGGTAAGATGTTCGCGATGAATCCTATGTCAGATGTCCTATCAAAGGCAAAATGTTTCAGTAAGTCCTAGAAACGATTTGCATGCATCATGAAGAACAGACGGATACATGTGGGTTTGCTGACCTCTACAGGAGTTAATGCAGTACTGTGCCATGGACGTCGACGCCACACATCATGTCTTCACAGAACAGCTTCCCCTCTTTATGGAGAGGTAAGTCAATCCCAACAAGCAAACGTTTTCTACTCACTATTATATAGATTTGTATATTTGTGTCTGCGATTCTGCATAATACTGCAATCTCTTTTTTAAGGTGCCCTCATCCAGTGACGTTCGCAGGGATGCTGGAGATGGGTGTGAGCTACCTCCCTGTCAATCAAAACTGGGGGCGTTACCTGGAAGATTCTCAGGACATTTACGAAGAGCTACAGAGAGAGATGAAGAAATCTCTGATGACTTTAGCGGATGATGCCTGCCAGCTGCTGCAGGATGACAGGTGAGAAGAGCATCTACCAGGTTTTATGACTATAGCAATTTCTAAAATGTTGGCTTTAAGTGTGTGATAAAGTGAAAATGCTTTGTATTAAAACAGCCACATTGTCTGTAAATGTATATATATATATATATGTTTTAGATATAAAGAAGACCCCTGGCTCTGGGATCTTGAGTGGGATGTACAGGAGTTCAAGGTGAAGAAAGTACCAGTCAGCAAAAATAAAAAGTCCAAAAAGGAAGCAGAAACAAAAGTTGGTACTCCACTTCCAGACTCGGAAGAAGGTAAAAGCATTGATCCTGTTTAAGTAGGATTTAAAATACTATAACAACAATTCCAGGTTAAAAATAACAGAGCAGATAATTAATTTGTGATATTAGACCCAGGCCCACCCTCTGAAGAGGAGACGGAAGGCCCTTGCCCCAGCAGGCTGGCTGTGGAGAAGCTGAAAGACACATTGAGTCGACTTCCTAAGAGAAGACAGCATCTGCCTGGACATCCAGGGTAAGGTCACTCACGAGCACCCAGAGCCATCAAATAATTAATATCTTTCATCCGACATGGTACTTACTGTGTCCTGCAGCTGGTACCGTAAGCTGTGTGAGAAGATGTCTGCGGAGGACAGCTGGTCCCCGGGAGCCAACCTCATCAGTCTACAGATGAGAGTCACTCCTAAGCTGATGGGTCTGACCTGGGATGGCTTCCCCCTGCACTACACAGACAAACATGGCTGGGGCTACCTGGTGCCTGGACGCAGGGATAACCTGGTGTCAGAGGAGGAGGAGGAGGAGGAGGAGGAGGAGGAGGAGGAGGAGGAGGAGGAGGAGGAAGAGGAGGAGGGGGAGGGGGAAGGGCCTGTGTGCCCTCACAGGTACCTTACTCTGTGCTTACATCATCAAGACAAGAGTTAGTTAATATTGAGTTTTTACATATGGTTAGCATGTGTGTTTATTCAAGCTTTGTTTTGTCTTTCAGAGCTATTGAGAGTGTTTACAGAGAGTATTGTGAGCAGATCAGCAAAGCACGGCCTGAGTATCAGGACTGCCACCCTTCAGAGGACCTCGTGTGGACGGACAGCACCATGTGGGCCAAGGTGCAAACACTCATATTACAATTACTTCATTCTTGTATAGACAAAAGGCTGTCTTTTTCATAAATATCCAAAATTACACTGTTTAGAAATCATATAAAGAGAAATGTTGTATAACTTTAAAATCATAATCATTAAAATGCCTGTACATACATTGTTATAAATTAGAGCAACCATAACATCTAGTTACCAATGCTGCATGACTTTCAATTACTTTCTTTAAAGTGGACCTATCATGCTATATTTGAAACATATATTGTAGGGCCATACCTATATAAAACATTTTTTTTTTCAAAATACCAAACAGATCATGCATTTTAGCCATGCCTCATTTCGCTCTATTTGCTCTTTTCCAGCCCTGTTTTGCAAGGGCTGATTCTGCTTTTGTGGCAGACTACAGCGCCACTTACAGGCCTGGCATATGTACTACAGCGTTTCCAGCGCTTTCGAGCGGTCTCTCATTCCCCTGATAGGTGGAGAGTTGCCCATATAGGCGGAGCACCCCTTTGCTGACGTCAGAAAAATTCAAATAATAATCAGCTCCGTTGTAGCCCCGTTTTTAGAGATTTGAGTATGGAGGAAAAGAGAGAGGGTTGTGTTTTCTGACACTTGGTGAGTTCCCTGACACACTGGGGACACATATTCATGTATAAAAGACGTACAAAAGTGCATTTTGCATGATAGGTCCCCTTTAAATTATGTAAATGACGGGATCAAGTGGTTTGGCTCTGAAATGTGTATTATATCGACTTGGTGTTAGTTTTGTATCAATGCTACTTCATTATCAATGATCAATCAGGCCCAGGGTCTCTGTAATGTTTAATGTACATGATGGCATAGGTGTTTTTCTTTACCTAATTTTAAGGTGGAGGAGTTTGGCTCCTTGGAGAGTCTGACAGAAAAAAATGGAGTCAGAATGATGAAAAATGGGGAGAAGAAGACAAACAAGGTGAGTGAAATGGTCATGGCTTTTTTTGACTTTGTATCAAGAGCACTTTTAATACATTGTTGTACTTTATTTCTATATTTCCATTCCATTTATAGCCTTGATGACATTGAACGGCACTATCTGGTCTAACATGCAGCTTGTATTTCTTTCTATTCTTCACATGTTTTGTCTCGCAGTGATGAAATGATACATCATCATCTGGGATTATTTGTATGACACCATTTCGATTCTGTATCAACAACAGTTTCAAGATCCACATAACGTCCCAGAGGAGAGCCACTGCCATTATCACCATGGAAACGGTCCCTACAGCGATGTTGATATTCCAGGGTGCTGGTTTTTCAAATTACCTCATAAGGTAGAGTTTCACTGTTCTTCCTGAAAACCTAGCTCAACGCATTGTCCCTTCACTGAATTATTTTAATCGTCTGACTAATTATGTGTTTCAGGATGGAAATCACAACAATGTTGGCAGTCCCTTTTCAAAAGACTTCCTGTCCAAGATGGAGGATGGGACCCTCAGGGCCGGACATGGTGGAACCAACGCTACACGAGCTCTGGAGATTAACAAAATGATGTCCTTCTGGAGGAATGCCCATAAACGCATTAGGTACCTATCAATTTCCACCATAAAGTGAATCATCTTGTAGTTGTAAAGATGGCCAATATATGATTTCACCGTCTTTGTAGTTCTCAGATGGTGCTGTGGCTGCGAAAGGGGGAGCTCCCTCGTACTGTCAGCAGGTTTGTCTTGCATATATATATCTATCTTCTTTATTAATCCGCCTTATTGTGGATAATAGTCATTGCTCATTATAACTACCTCCCTGTCTCCTAAAGACACAAAGAGTTTGATGAAGAGGGCCAGTATGGGGCCATATTACCTCAGGTCGTCACCGCTGGAACCGTCACACGCAGAGCCGTGGAGCCAACATGGCTGACAGCCAGTAACGCACGGGTAAGAGTCAAAGCCGATATCACAAGAACTGAGGTGCAGTTACCAGCCAGAAGAGAAATGTTCCTTATTAACAGTTTATTTCGTGTCCACAGCGGGACCGGGTGGGCAGTGAGCTGAAGGCCATGGTGCAGGTGCCCCCTGGATATCACCTGGTGGGAGCAGATGTAGATTCTCAAGAGTTGTGGATCGCTGCTGTGCTCGGAGAGGCTCACTTTGCTGGCATGCACGGTGAGATTTGTCCTATTGAAGTCTTTTGAAGTTCTTTCTATATTTTGTTCTGTAACCTGTAGTGATATTAAATAATCTAGATTGTTTTGGTACGGACTCGCAGGCTTTGCAGATGGTAATACGGCTGGGGGGTTTAGTTTGGAAGAAAGATATTAGTTCCTACATGAAACTGCTCTAAACACGGTTTGTGGATTATCTTTAGTCAGGATTTCTGGAAGGAGACATTTTAAATGTTTTTTGGTGGTTTGATTATAAGGGAGAAGGCAGAGAAGTCCAGACAGCCCCTATCTCAATCACTAGATAACTCACACCGTAAACATACAGGTAAAAGGAACAATATGTATTTGGGATTTGGGGGGGAACTGTTAACAACATATTAAGGATTGCGAAAATCTGTTATCTGTATAATCTGTAATAGTTTCAACAGACAGAATGTGTTTATCTTGTGTCTCTCTGGGTTCAGGCTGCACAGCGTTCGGCTGGATGACCCTGCAGGGGAAGAAGAGTCAGGGCACCGACCTGCACAGCCGCACTGCAGACACTGTGGGCATCAGCCGAGAGCACGCCAAGGTGTTCAACTACGGACGCATTTACGGAGCGGGACAACCCTTTGCTGAGAGGCTGCTGATGCAGTTCAATCACCGGCTCGATCAGACAGAAGCTGCCAGTAAGGCCATGCAGATGTACGCCTTGACAAAGGGCATACGCAGGTACGCTCAACAATAGTTTGTATTGTGGTAAAAGTTGTATTCTTAGTACGTTTGTGCGATGAAATTGAGCACTAGTGCTTCATGTTTGTGTTGATGTTTTGTCAGGTACCAATTGTCCGAGGAGGGTGAGTGGCTGGTCAATGAACTGGATATAGAGGTGGAGAGGGAGGAAGATGACAGTGTCACCCTGCAGGAGTTAAGAAGGATCACTAGACTGGCCTCACAGTCGTAAGGGAGCAAGTTAAACATCACACTAACACTTGTCAGGAGCCTTTTCACTGTCTCAAAATGTTCTGCTCCATGTTCTCCCAAGTGCTCTGTTTCTCCATATTCCTCTGCTTTTTCTGTGTTCCTCATACCCCTCAGCTCTCGGCGGAAGAGCTGGAATATGGTGGAGAAACGCCTGTGGGCGGGAGGTACGGAGTCGAGTATGTTCAACGAGCTGGAGAGGATCGCTCATTCAGCCCAGCCAGCCACTCCGGTTCTAGGCTGCAGGATCAGCAGAGCCCTGGAGCCCGAGGCAGTGAAGAATGAGGTGGGGCAGCGGCAAAGATAACATTTTAACATAAATCTAATTCACATGGTGATATTTAACTAGCGTGAGCAGGCAAACCCCTTTTTTCATGTGGAACTTCTGAGATTTGTAATGAAATATATGTATTGCCTTCTTACTGTCAAAAGCCAAGTATCTTTAAGTCATTAACTGTATTAAAAAAAAAGCATAGAAATGCCTGTATCTTTCCCTAACTGGATGAGGAACATAACTACTGCTAATTGACAATCTGAATAACAAAATATACCTTTTTAAAGTAAGATTTTTTCACATTTGCTTTGTCAGTTCATCACCAGCAGAGTGAACTGGGTGGTGCAGAGCTCAGCGGTGGACTACCTCCACCTGATGCTGGTGGCCATGAAGTGGCTCCTGGAGGAGCACGACATCGATGGACGTTTCTGCATAAGCATCCACGACGAGGTGCGGTACCTGGTCTGCAGCGAAGACCGCCACCGAGCAGCGCTGGCTCTACAGATCACAAACCTGCTCACAAGGTCTGCTCCCAGCTGGGTGTTCATCCTCCTGTTAGAATATATCCAATATAGAAAAGGCAGTTCACATGGTAGCTTTTCTGAGTGTGTGCTTGTGTCTCCTGCAGGAGCGTGTTCGCCCATGCGTTAGACATGAAGGACCTTCCCCAGTCAGTAGCTTTCTTCAGTGCCGTCGACATTGACCAGTGTCTGAGGAAGGAGGTCAACATGGACTGTGTGACCCCCTCCAACCCCACAGGTGTTGAGAGAAGATACGGCCTAGCGCCTGGTGAGTTCTGCACACCATCATCTGCCTTTACTACATTTATACCAATGTGTGCATACAAACAATATGCATAAGAAAACTAAAGGGTTAATTAACAATCGAATCACGTGCACCTTTTAACAGCACATTAAATATCAAATAATCTATAACATCTTTAAAAAAAAGTTTTGCCTATTGAATTAGTCCAAAATAACAACTATTAAAATGCCATTTTACCTTTTCAGTATCCTTTCAGTTTATTTGCACTGCTTTTACAAAGTCATACATACAAATTGAGTTGTGAATTTTCTTGACAAATTTGTGCAGATAACATTAAATACATCAACATTTTTGGCTTGGTAAAATGCCATGCAAGATACAATATAAACAACTGTTTAAGTGAACAGAATAACAAAGAAAACAAGAGCACTAGAAACAAAGCTAGGTTTCTCTCCGGGATGCATTTATGTGCATTGGACACCATGTATCCACTTCCTTTGTTCAGGCAAGTGGGGGCATCTTAGGGAATGCTATGTGGTATATATACACACACAACTGTTCTTTGTATATAATGGCAACTGATTACTTAAAGTGACAGTAACAATTCACATGTACCTATGGTTTAGAAAAAACATCTCTTGAATATAAAATTAACTATAGGAACATAACCAGAGTGTTAATACAAGTGTGCAAACTTTTCACAGGTGAGGCCTTGGACATCTACCAAATACTGGACATCACTAGAGGCTCTCTGGACAGAGGGAGATAGCACTGTGTGGGAGAAGCCTGTTAGTCAGAACAGCTCAAACACACGACTTAAAGCCATTCAGCAGCTGCGCAAGTTCCACATCAGTGAGGCTGATTCTTAGCTCACTGTTTCCTCTTCTTCTTTTTGGGCTCCTCCTTGTCCTCTGCTTCCTGTGACTCGTTGGCCTACAAGAGATGGATGAAGAGTGAAACCATTAGTGTGAATGTGTAAGGATGACAGACCCTGTTGTAGCTGCAGAGTGCACTGACCTCCTGACTGCCGTCCTGCTCCTGCAGAGCTGCGTCCAGAGAAGCAGCGTTGATGCGGAAATCTCTCGAGGTGCTCAACTTCATGTACTGCATCAGATTGACCTGAACAGAGAAATACACAGCTGCTGATGAAACACTGTACATGAGTGGCCTAACCTGTAGCAACACACTAACAGTGTTCAAGGAGCCATTGATCTGTTTTACAGGGAGCTGCATATTTCAGCTCACATACCTTTGATTTTTTTGAAAGTGTGATGAGGAATTTCTCGTACTGTTCAATACTGAAGATTACGTTAGGAATGGCTTTTGTTTCACGCAGAAGTTTTGCCTGCCGAGGGAGAAAAAAAGGAATTGAAGTTTGTTTTAAGTTGTTCATTGTATCTATATATTGTTTTTGATACAATAAAGAAACTGTTAGATTGTGAATGTATTGCTTTTCTTATCAAGTCACATAAATCAGGAACTAAATGTTACGAGTTGAATGTCCTTACAGAGGCAGCAGTGTTCACTTCATTTCTTTTCTTTTTCTTCTTGTCATCTGCCCCTCCAACGCTCATTTCTCCACTCTAAAAACAAAACACATCAGCTCTTCCTGTTGCTGTAAATAACCTCAAACAGTTCAGAATAACGGAAGTGACGATGAGCCTGAAAACCTGGATCTTTGCCAGGGACCCGTCTGAAGTGTACCTGTGCGTAAGTGATGAAGGAGTAGCACTGTGGCGTGAGGTGGGAGCCCGACAGTTTCACCTGCACAGAGAACACTTTATTACCGTGACACCTGAAGTAATAACGTTAACACTATAAACAAAACCTCTGACTCACCAGCTTCTCGAGGCGTGCCGGCAGTGCTCCCCCGGGCTGACTGGCACACACCTGGATGTACTAAAGCAACACATTGGGACAAATTCAAAGTCACACTCAACAAACTCTACATTAATACTGAGGTCAAAGAGTGGACACAGTTAACGCACGTATTTGACGAGCGTGGTGAGGGTGGTGTAGGTGCGGCTCAGGTCTCTCAGCAGGGTGATGGTACATGAGCCAGGCAGCAGGGCGGTCTGCACCAGCTCGTTTAGCGCCGTCAGAAGGGTCCCGAGCTGCAGCGTGACCGCTTTCTCTATGGGATCCTGCTGGCCCGCAGTCTGGGTGGCCCCCCCTACACATCAGGGACATCACAAGTTTCAGTGCCACTCCCTGACAGAGACGCCTGTCCTCTCCCAACTCTCACCATTAATCCGACTGAATTTGTGCGAAAAAGCTTACTTACCAGGACCCGGTGTGTCAGAGGGCGCCTGACTTTTCTTTTTGGCAATCAGCCAGTCCACTTCATCAAGCACTCGGTCAACCTGAGACAGGACCAGCAGCTGGGAAGAGAGATTCCAGTGATGAAGATGCTGAGCAAACACGTTCTGAGATACTGATGTCGCAGGAGCTTCTGGTTGATTAGTAAAAACACTCACTGTGGCTGTGGACGCAGTCTTCATGTTGACTATGGCAAAGTGAGACTGCTTTTCCACTTCTACATCCTGAACGCACAGAGAAACAAGGCAGGACAAAAAGCGACATGTTGACCCAGGTAGTAGGAAAGAGGCAACTGCAACATTTGAATTGTATCATGATTTGATTTTTGAGAACATCGTCTTTCTGGCTGTTTCTAAATATGCAAGCCTTGAGAGCCAGAGAAAGGATTTTTGTTCTTAACTGTACAACTAAGACATTTCACTCTATTGTAAGTTTGCTCTAACATAATATCATGCCATAATTGGGCATCATTTGTATACATGACTTAAGCAAAATCCCTTTTAATCATTTTTCTTCAAGTATACGCACTGATGCTACCCTGGGCCTTGCGATTGTTTTGAAAGGTGTGTGTGTGTGTGTGTGTGTGTGTGTGTGTGTGTGTGTGTGTGTGTGTGTGTGTGTGTGTGTGTGTGTGTGTGTGTGTGTGTGTGTGTGTGTGTGTGTGTGTGTGTGTGTGTGTGTGTGTGTACCTGATCGATGTCCCCCAGCTGGCTGTGGATGTCTTGGCAGAGCTCCAGCAGCAGGCTCACAGGACTCTTGTAGAGAACATGCAGGCTGAACAGAAGAGACAGCAGACCCTTGGAGAAAGCAGAATCCTCTAGAAGAGAGAAACAGATCTCAGAAGAACCCCCCTTACTGTGCATGTACGCAAAGATTCATTAACCCACCCCCACTTACCAAAACTGGTCTCCTTGCAGATCTTTACAGTCCACGTAATCATCTGTACAAACTGCAGATGTAAACGTGTGTTAGGGCGGGGAGAAGGTGCTAGAGAGGTGTTCGTATGAAGTGCTCTTCAGAGGTTCCCCTACCTGTTGGGAGGCGGGCTTCAGCTGGCGGGAGAGCACAGTCAGGATGCTGACCAGCAGCTGAGCCTCCTTGCTGTTAAATTCTTCCTCTCCTCCACTTAGCTGAGTGAACAGCGCCCTCTGTTGACAGGAAGAGAACATTGGATTTCAGACTAGGCAAGGCACGGCAAGTTTATTTATATAGCACTTTTCAACACAAGGCAATTCAAAGTGCTTTACAAAAAATGAAAGACATTAAGAAAATGGCATTTAAAATCAGTCATTAAAAAGAAAAGCTAATAAAATAAACATTAAAAGAAAAAATACATGGATAAAAGTTACAGTGCAGTTTAAGATATGAATAGTTCAATTAAAAGCGACAAAAAGAAAAGTCTTCAGCCTGGATTTAAAAGTAGTCAGAGTTGCAGCGGACCTGCAGGTTTCTGGGAGTTTGTTCCAGATATTTGGAGCATAATAACTGAACGCTGCTTTACCATGTTTAGTTCTGACTCTGGGGACAGAAAGCTGACCAGTCCCTGAAGACCTGAGAGATCTGGATGGTTCATAATTTAGACTACATGAACAGTGCACTGCATTTCAAACATAGAAACATCTCAGGCAAACCTAACTCCTCGTATAACATTGAAAATGATGTTTAGCCTGACATGCCTTCAGTAAAATCAGTTAAGATATATATGAAGCGAAGTTTCATTTAATCAATTAAAAGAAGCGATGGATACGCAAGACCTTTAGCTGTTTAATCCTAAAATACATGTTTGTAACTTTTAAAATATGTAGAGAATAACCAAATCCATTCCGTTTGGATGCACCTGAAACTGTCGGATGTAGAAGAAGTTCATCTCAGTGGCGTTGCCATCATCTGGCTCAGAGTCATCCTCTGCGACGTCTGCAGAACAGAACATGTGATGACTTTCTGAACAATAATCAGTGTTGAATTCATTGCTTCTGTGCTTGTCTCACCCATGGTGGAGAGGAGCTGGACCATCCTGTCTGGAAAGCGCTGCTGGCAGGTGGTGAAGATCCTGAGCAGACCCTCCAGACACAGCAGAGACAGGCTGGAGCGCTTCTCCTTCTTCCCCCCGTCCTCCACCGCGCTGGGGATGTTGGTGTAGCGCCACATCAGCACACTGGATAATGCAAGGACAGACCTCTCAAAAAACAGACATTCACATGGAGTAACTAGAGCTGTGATTAAGGCCAAGGAGCCGGACCTTGTCATGTCACAGAGGAAGCGGAACGTTCTGTCTGTGTTCTGTCCGTCCGGCCCGTCTGTGTGTCCGCTCTCCTCCAGCTGCTGGATCTTCTGAACTGCTACGTTCAACGCATAACGCACAAACTCTCCATTTAGGCGAAGAACTGACAGAGCCTCCTCTCTGCTCTGAGTACTGTCTCTGAAAATACAAATATATTTTTGTAATATTCATGCGACTTTAAGAATTTCATCAAACAATCCAGTGGTATTTTGTTCTTGAAATGTGTTGTAAATCCTACTATGGAGTGGGAAACAGTTGATGGGTTTACAAAGCATTTCTACCTGAGAAGTTCATTAAGAGCTAACTGTGGTTTCAATAAATGCTATACAAAGTGCAATTCAATACATTTTAAGCATATTATCTAGGAAAGGAATAAAGAAAGAAGTAAATGTCCTCATTGTCACAGTATTTATAAAAAGCTATTTTTTTTTAGGTCTATACATCATTTCATAAATTGTGATTTGATTGAATGACAGATAATCAAACCGCATGTACCTGAAGAGCACAGTAAGGAGAGTAGATATGAAGCCCAGAGAGAGTAAACTGCGGGGGGTTTTGTTTGAAGGCACCCGACCCTTTCCTGATTTCTCCTTCAGGATCTCAGACAGTTTGTGGTAGCGGTTGAAAAGCTCCATGAGCTCCTCAAAGCGGTTTTTACTGAAACACAGAGGCAAGCACACAAATAAACAACAAACTCACCACTTTAACAACTTTATGCTATGCAGCGTCCTGAGAAAATAACCAGGGGCTACCTGTAGTTGGCTTTGATGAAGGTGAACTCCATAAGGATCTCATAGACTCCCATGACCAGCACAGCGTAGATACTATTCCTCACACCAACACTGGATCCAATGGAGAACTCAGCTGACTTGTCCTGATCAACACAAACACACACACAGTACATTATGTCATTGTGGGAAAGCCTGGAAGCTGGAAGGGAGGCAATAAAATACAACTGATATACAATCAAATTAAAATAAATGTTCATCAATACGTTCCTGGGAAGAGATTTTTTATTTGCTTTATGCTTGTACATGTCATAAGCTTCCCCATATTTTTGTTTCTTTATTAACCGTATTGACGTACAGGCTTGTACAGGTCGCTGAAAGACAAATCAATTTAAACAAATTGATGTCTATCATGGGGACGCTACGTCGATAATGGTAAAGTTGAGCCAAACCTTTGAAAGCCATACAATTTAGTTTAGTGTAAATACTGTATTTCTATCTTGAATTAATACCAGTTCAAAGTCCTCCAGTTCACTCTTGATCATGCGTCTCGTCATGCTCTCTAGGATGGTCTCTAGTTCAGACTGGCATCCCTCCTCCTCTTTCTCCTCATCCTCGTCATCACTGTCGTTTGCAATTGGGTGTGCAGATCGTCGCATGTTCTGCAGCCAGAGCAGGCAGTGAACAGTACAGCTCAACAGATGGGCCTGAAAGGGAACAAATACTATTTATCAGAGACATTAACACAGCAAAGAACGGAGCCATAAAAATGCTTCAATGCAGACAAAGTACCAGCGGCTCCTGGAGGAAAACCTGGTCTCCGAGCGCTGTGATGCATGGTTCCAGTTTCACCGGGGGAAGGAGGTCCTGCTCAGGCTCGTAGTACCGCTTCAGCTGAGGAAACAAAGACATGAGATACAGCTGTCTGTGTTGTAGATAACTTTACAATAACACCTAACCCAGTATGCACTAAACACACACAAGCGTACCTGCGAGAAGAGGGTCTGCATGATGGAGCTGGCAAGTTGAGAGTTGCGACGGAGTACATCATAGAAACCCTGGAAAAGGGGGGGAATACAAATGAGTATACATGTCTTGCTACACCCTTAAAGCTA